CCCCAAAACCCCAAAACCCCAAAACCCCTATCTATTTCTTAAGCTTTGAATAATTTAATCTCTTATTTATGTCTCAACCACTATCCTCACCACAAAAACTTTTAAAACTCCTAAAGACTCGAACAATGTCCTCAACAAATACTTCACACAGCAACCAGCGTGCAAGCAAGCCTATCACCACCATCTACGTTGGAAACCTCAGCTACCAAGTTACCGAAGGAGACCTGACCGAGCACTTCAGTGCCTCTGGCACCATCGAATCCTGCCGAATAGTCAAACAAAGATTTGGCTTTGTCGAATTCACCACTGAAAGAGCAGCTCGCAGAGCCATCGACTCCTTTGATGACTCAAGGTTCTTCGGCCGAAGAATCAGAGTCGAATGGTGCAAGACCAAGGGCAACAAGTGCTACAGATGCGGAAGAGAAGGCCACTTTGCCCAAGACTGTAGAGAAGAAGCTCCCAGAAGAAGCTACAAAGGCAAGTGATTTCTGTGTAATGAGACAGGCCATAAGAAGAAAGACTGCCCAACCAAGAGAAGAGATACAGGCAGAAGGAAGATCAAGAGAAGAAGAAGATATGATAGTTATAGCAGTAGCAGTGAGAGCAGCCTCAGCAGCAGATCTGAAAGCAGGGATTATGACACCAGGAGGAGGAAGAGAGGTAGAGGAAGAAGCAGGGATAAGAGAAGAAGTCACTATGAGAGAAGCAGAAGTCGATCTTATAGAAGAAGAAGTCCATCTTATAGGAGAAGAAGTCCAACCGATAGGAGGAAAAAAAGAAGAACTCCTGAGAAGAGAAGAAGTAGATCTCCTTCAAAAGTGATCTCGAAAGAAATTCAAGAGAGACTCAGAAGCAGGTCTAAATCTAAGGACAAAAAGTTCAGTGAAATGAACAAAAGAGACAGCTTTACTCCTCCAAAAAGAGATGACCCAAAAATCAGTAGAAAAATGTCAAATTCTCCTCCAAAAATGAATGGCAAACTCGACAACAAAGCTTCACCTAAAAAGAAAAAGAATCCTAGCAATTGGGGAGATTCTCAGTGGGACGATAAATTCGCTAAACCCGAGAATGAAGATCCAGTAAAACCAAAAGAACCAGAACAAAAAACAAGTATGAACCCTCAACCTCCAGCAAAGGAACCAACTGAACTAAAAGTTGATTCTAAAAAGCTTGAGTCAAAGCCGGATAAGAAGCAGAAATCCAGAGAAAGCAGGAGCAAATCAAAAAGTCTAAGTTCAAGAAGTTCAAGAAGTTCAAGAAGTTCAAGAAGTTCCAGAGGTTCCAGGAGCTCCAGAAGCTCCAGAAGAACTGATCGCAGAAAAGGTAGAGAAAAAAGGATCAATTCTAGAAGTAGTTCCAGTACTATTTCTAGAAGAGACTCAAGAAGCTCATCCCGAGGTAAACGAAGCAGAAGAGATAGATCCAATAGGAAACAACGAAGCAAGGCACACTCCCGATCAAGAGATAGCAGAAGGAGGAGCAAAAAGAGCAAGAGAAGAAACAGAAGAAAGTCCAGAAGATCTTATAGCTCCTCCAGCATGGAGTCCTCACCAAGAAGAGGAAGAAAATCAAGCACAACCAGTTATTCACTCTCTCCTCAGTTGAGAAAAAGAGACAGGAAAGATGCGGAGAAACATGAAGAAGAGAACCACCATAGAAAATCTCTGAAAGATTCTAATGATTCAAAGGGCTCTTCAGCATGTAATCCAAGTGTATCCCAAAGCAAGAATCACACGAAAGGTAAAGACATGAATCCTTCACAGGATACAGGCAAGCCTAGTCTAGCATCAAGGATTTACGGAGGTAAGAACACTAAACTAAAGGGAGATGCTTCAACTTTAGTAAAGAAAGAAGCCCACGATCAGAGTCAAACAGCTGCTCACATTAAGGAAGGGTATCAAGAGTCCAGAAAAGTAGCAACAAAGGATCTTAAAAGCCGTTCTAAGGCTTAATCCTAACGTTTAGCATTTTTCAGTCGGAAAAAAGATTAATTTAATTTTGATAAAAGGGGTTTTGGGGTTTTGGGGTTTTGGGGTTTTGGGGTTTTGGGG